GTTGCTTGCAGTCGATAACGTTCAAGAACTCACGAATGTGTCCAGTCTTCGAGGGCTGACAACAGTCATGGCAATTCACCTCCAGACCCTGTTAAAGGGACCACGCGGTGGGCGGGGGGGGGAATCAACGAAAGGGCCCCCAGTAGCCCTTTCAACAGGGAGGGTATGAAGCAGTATTGCAACGCTAGAGGAACTAAAATGAATTCTGCAAGCCATCCTTGGAGACAGCGGTCGGCCAGTGGGGCGTTCCTTTTTTGAGAGTCGGTTGATTGAGTGTAACCAAAATCGAGTAATTTATACACTCCGTCGGATCGGAAGACTTCTTCTGCGTGTGAAGTGGGTCTTCCCCCACACATTTCCAAAAAATACGTAAAAAATTACGAATTTTTGAAGGTTTCGTAGCAAGCACCGCCCACCTATAGCACGCCCCGCCCATAATGGGTGTGCCTCCCTCATTTCGTCCGCCAACTGATTGCCTATCGTTTGCACATTTTCCGCTCTCGGGCTCTTCTGGAACCGAGTTATGAATTTTTGAAATAAGTAGCTCACAACTGTGCGCACGCCCCGCACAGTGGGCGGGGCTTAGCTTAGTTCATGTGTGTTCCGTACATCTTGGTCCATGCCCTACCCATCCCACCCTTGACCCGACCCCATAAACCGGCTCTTCAAGTGATGCCGACACAAGACACACAGACACACTTACAGACAGCCAGCCATACAGACAGACAAACGTTGCCGTTCATAGGGAGCAGGATATCTCCGAGATGGCTAGGGCGTGGTTGCGCACATCATCCGAACATGGCGTGAAAAGCATTTCTCTTGGGATATTTTCATTTGAGACAACTATCCTCTTGTTTCGTGGTGGGCAAAGACATGATTACGAATGTCCGAAAACGGCAACATCCCACTAACATGCAGCAGCCGTCGCGTTCAAATGAAGTACGCGGCTACGCCCTATTTATCCCCGCGATGTGGAGTGTGGATAGATGTCTTAATCCCAAGAGAATATCTTCAAGAGAAAAGCAGTATTAGTATTTCAAAACCAATAATAAAATCGAAAAATGCAGGGGAAATTCAAGATGAAATAATTCTGTTCATTTCAGGATCGAAACACACATCGAACCAGGGAGTAGCGTTAGAGATGTGATTTACTTTGCAAATCACCACACCGCACCAAACCATCATTGGCGACCGAATTTACTGACCCCGTAAGTTTTTTTGTGTTAATTTAGAATTTTACTGAATTAACTGCTTTTTCTAGTTATTTTCATAAGTGCGATTTAACGACACAGTTCGCACCTTCAAGTTGTCACAAGAACGATAGGTTACGGGGAAAGGATTTGAACCAGGCAGAGCTAGGACCTGCACCTCACGCTTATCATCATGCTGGGTTGTGGAAGGAGCCTTGAAGGTGGCGTAGCACGCTGGGTCGCTCGTTAAGCTTGAGCTGCGGGTTCGAGTCCAGCCCGTGTCAAGCTCCTCAAATCAATGCCAGAGCCCTCCAATATCGATCACATCCAACTGGGCTAATTTTTATCTCCCAGAGCGGCAATTTGCAATAAAGATTTCAGAAACCCAGATTGGCCTACTGTGGGAAATCGACAGAGGTTCAGCAAGGAGCCACTGACAGAGGAGGAGCCACTGACAGAGGAGGAGCTCAGAAAAAGCCCATTCGGTAAATACCTGGTGAGTCTTCCTCTTCTTTCTACACCGCTTAGGGCTACCAAAATCTTCGGTGTCTTAGGAATGTTTGGCGCTGTTCGGGCTTTTGGAGGGGCCCTGCATTTTGGCACGTTCGCTGGTGACAGGTTTTCACTTCCTCCTGTGCAAAACGTGCAAACTTTTGGAAACTGGGCGAAATGGTAGGCGCAGTGGGTTCTACTTCAGTCACAAAATTCAGCCGTTTTCACACATTGGCTGTACAAGTTTAGTTCTGAACCACCATTCCAATGCCGCTACAAAGCCAAACTGGAGCAAATTTTGGACATACAGCTTCATTTTTAATATCCTCGCTCAAGACACCACTAATTGTGGCCGTTCAGAAAGATGCACAACGGGTAAAACCTACCGTCTCTACATTCGATTCAGGCAGAGCAGATCTGTCTTCAATGAATAGTAGCACGAGTACAGGTATGCAAAAGGTAGCCTTGAAAGGAAGCCAAAATCATGCGTAATCTTTTAGTTCCTTCATCTCCTATTCCCAGAGCTCCCACACGTTACCGAGATCGGATACCTTCCCCGTGGATGAACCCACCGAGAAAAGGTAAATTTGTTCATTTCCTATCCAAACGAAATTCCCCACACATCGGTAATATGGTAATGATACGGCATCTCAGAAATGGATCTTTTAGATTTTCACCATTTTTCATTAAGATATGGAAACCCGTACTAATCTCCACCGAGTGAATTCAAAATCTCTACCTCATATCACGAAGCCTCTTTGCGAATTCAGGTTAGTTCTGCATTACTTCATTTTTCTTCAGCTGATTATTTGTGCTCGTTCTGAAAAGTGATAGTGCGGGATGTGGCGAGAAAACCGCAACCCGTCGCGCCGGTGGGTCGTTGGCTAAGCATTCTCGCTTGGCCGCCTTTGCTGCAACTGGAGCCGGCATGGCACTGTTTTTGGCTTGGATGGGGACACCTTTGCACTTATAAGGCAGTTGGCACACCTGGTTTCCCCACTGCGGCCTAAGCTGCTAGTGGGCGCTGTATAGTGGGGAAATAGCGAAAGAACGGAGTGAAACGGTCAAAATCCTGCGGAGAAAGAGCCTCCATTCTCAATGTGTTCAAAATCAATTTTGGACGAGTTCCGTAGGCATCTTACAATGTTTACCATGGTATGCATGTTACATGATACGTCTGCATATGTGCACCATATATGCACTGCAGCATCAAAGCCGCTTTATTACGGCAATCTTTTGCTTTATAATTTGCCTCAGGGAGCAAATAATGAATACGAGCCGTCAAGAAACGGTCGTCCCTGTTTGTGGGCGCGCGGGCGACGGAAGGCGGTTGCGAAGCGGAATTTTGGTTTGGCTCGATAGGCGCGGTTATAGGGCGGCATCGGGTTCCTTCATGGAAAGAAGCGATTACGAGCATGCGCCGTGCTGCCGAGGCAAACGGAATATTCTGTTAAGTCACCAGTCGCATAAACTTCCTACTGTTATAGCGTTATATCGTAGCCAGGACACGTTCACGCTTTTAAGTCGTATCGTGCTTGTTACTTTTTCAGTCCGATTGACAGGCGCACACTTTGGCATCAGACCACTGCAAATCCCATTGTAATTTTTGAGAGAGCCTTCGCTTAAGGAATTTGAAGTATTTTACAACAGGTGGTCTGTAAAAGCGTAGCCTGAGCACCATTCATTATGCCCACTAGAGTACCTGAACCAGGGAGGCCGCTATAAGTTGAGGGTTAGCTTCCATGCGAAACATCTTGCCGTAGCCACCTGCCCACTGCCGCACGATGCGCCTGTACGAAGCGGCGCTGCGAATAAGGGTTGTTTGACCGTTTCACGTAATCGCGGTGGAGTGTTGGCGGAACGATTCCGAAACGGTTTCCTCGCTTCACTTACTTACCAACTACTCTGAGACCAGCAAGGACGCGAGGCAGCCCCGGGCCCCCTTTTCATCACACCATTTCAGGCCACCTCTGAGTTTGAGTCCATCTGCCTCTACGTTGACCTAGTTCGTTCGTTGTACACCCTTCTGTGTTGTTAATGAGTGAGAAAGCGTGCAATAGTTGGGGGGAACGCAGTGGAACCAATCCAGTTTCTAGACGACCGAATTACCAATTTGTGTAAAGAAATGACGGCGCTGGGAAGGGGCTTTTGAAGGGGTTCTCATGCAAAGCTGGGATTGGTGCTATGGAGATGGGCACTTTCGAAGGCATATGGCACGATAATTCGGTACGGTCTAAAATGCTAGCAGGGTGCTATATAGTGGAAAATGGCGAAAAAACGAAGTGAAACGGTCAAAACCTGCGAAGAAAAGCCTTCGTTCTTAATGACTCAAAAAGCAATTTCGGACGAGTTTCCCGTAGGCATCTTGCCAATAACCGCTACGGTAGATACGGCTGCATGTATGTACTCATATATCCATGCAGCACCGCGGCCGCTTCATACCAATCCCTTCGCTTCATACTTACTTCGCAAATGAAGCAATACGAGCATCAGGTACGGTCGTCCATTTGTGGGCGGGCGGGCGTGGTGGGCGTTCGGGTCGGTATGTTGCAGCTTGATAGGGCCTTATAAGGGTACCTTCCTTGGAAAAGGCGCTACGCAGCGCCTGCTCAGGGGCGCGGAATTCCGTCCTGCCAGGCGTATTAATCCTACTCGTCTTAGGGACCTATCGTGCCAACTGCCTTCAACCAAGCCTGAGGGAACTAGGAGCTTTTCAAATCTGTTTGGAGGGAGGTACCTCTGTTAGATGACCTTCTTCTTCATTCGCAAGGAAAAACGAGGAGAGGAAAAAGGAGGAAAACGAGCTCTTTAAATGGCCTTCAAGATTATTAGGGAAGATATGAACTCGCCGCTAAGGTTCGCAAGCTGAAAGGAAAAGCTGAAAAGTCAAGCCGAACATGTATAGCTAGACATGCTCTGCAGAGCAGATGATGATGTTTCGTCGAAAAGTCAATGGAATAAAATTTCGTTTCTTTTCATTTTCTTGGCCACAAAAGAAAAAGAAATATAACCGCAGTCATAACATTGGGTTATCGGCCGGACGTTCTATGATGCGGTGACGCAGCGAAATGTGGCGTTACATGTGGTGTGACGTTCAACGATTCCTTCCTTACCGATGATCACGTCGGAGAACGCAACTAGTATATTTGTCGCCAGCGGCTGGTCCCACGCGCGCGCAACTTTGAATTCAAACGCGCTGTGTGCATGTGCACAACACTCTGAACACCGTAATCTCTCCTGGTCTAATTATACTCGACGAACGAATGAAACGCAGTGTACTGAAGGATAACCTAGGTGCTAACGTAGTTGGGAGGGGCCAAGCGGCTCGCGGCGAGTGATGACTCATCTACTCTTCTGCTTCCTCCTCGGCAAAAAAGAAATAATTTCATGTTGAGGACATGGATATAACACCGTCCTATAGCTATATTCAAAACTAACAGTTGTAAGGCTGAAAATCTCGAAAGTAAACGCGTTGATAGCTGGAGATTGCCTAAAATACAACACGGTTGTTGCATTTTTGTTGATTGTTGACTATAAAAGACCAAACATTTGTTGTTTTCAGCTTCTGTGGGATTTCTCAGCAAGTTTCCGGTGAATCTTGTTTGTTTTATTCTAATTTTGCTGCTAAATTAACGCTCCAAGTATGTCAATGAGTGAATATCCGATGAGTCATCACTCGCGCGCGCCGCGTAAAGCCGCGTGTCCTCACTCAACACTTAGCACGACTTAACCTTATTTTCTCTTATAGTGGGTAAGCGCGCTGCTCCAGAGACACGGTATCACATGCTGGAATCCACACAAGTTGATTATATCAGTTTTTCTAACATTCTCTTTTGACTACATTCTTTTTGCCCCTGCATGATCCATCAGAACGGCGATCTCATAGGTGAGTTTTCACATTTCCTGAATTCTAATATTTGTGAATGCGTCGCCATTTTCTCCGTGCTTTCATTTTCGATCCCATTCTACATTACCCTTTCTTGAACCTGTCTTGCATGCACCTTATAATCCCCTCAACATTAACATTTTGTGGCGTAGCAGATCATCCAGGTTCCTTCATGGCTTCCGAAGTATTCGCGTGGATGCTTGGTTACGCGAACCCTTCGAAAACCAGCGAGATGACTGAGTTTTGAGCAAAAACCTCTTAGGCACCGTCAGAACTTTACGCGCCACGCGCGCCTATCAGCTGTACGCTACTTCCGAAGTCCATCTACGATGCGCAGTGACACAAAACAATATAATACTCGTGATCACGACCCTCGGCAACCCCCCACACCCCATCCCTCCTCCCTGAAAAGGAAGAGGGGCTCAGGAACACATAAAATGAGAAATGAAGGGAAAGGGATTGAATTCAGAAAAAAAAACAAAAATGGAAGCTGGACTTCGGTACAGTAGCGCGTAGCGCTAAGTCTGAACGCTGCCTAAAGAAGTTTTGCTCAACACCTCAGGTCATCTTCGTGGTTTCGAACGGTTCGGCTTACGCCATCAAACGATATCTCGGAGCATGACAGAAACCTATGATTCTCCTACGCACAAGTCATATGGTAATGTATTGGGGATATATAAAGTGCATGCAAGACAGGTTCAAGAAAGGGTAATGTAGAATGGGATCGAAAATGAAAGCACGGAAAATGGCGACGCATTCACAAATATTAGAATTCAGGAAATGTGAAAACTCACCTATGAGATCGCCGTTCTGATGGAACATGCAGGGGCAAAAAGAATGTAGTCAAAAGAGAATGTTAGAAAAACTGATATAATCAACTTGTGTGGATTCCAGCATGTGACACCGTGTCTCTGGAGCAGCGCGCTTCCCCACTATAAGAGAAAATAAGGTTATCCATTCAGTACATAGTTTATTCGTTCGTTCGTATATAATAGACCAGGAGAGATTACGGCGTTCAGAGTGTTGTGCACATGCACACAGCGCGTTTGAATTCAAAGTTGCGCGCGCGTGGGACCAGCCGCTGGCGACAAATAAGTGCGTTCCTGAACCTGAATGCTGGAATGCGTAGTCGACCAGTTTGAGGGATTACTCTTCTTGTCCTTATCCGTGGGCCTCGTTCTGTGAACCTTCCAACCGCGCACCACTTGAATTTCACTCCTACGCTTTCGAAAAAGGTCCATTGTTGCTCACCGCACCGATGAGTTTGCCGGTGATTTAATGGCTATAACGGCTAATGGTCTTGACATGCCGCAGTAAAAAAGTAGCACTACTATCAAAGGGCCTTGACAAGTGATAGTGATAACAGGTGGCGTAAACGCCAAGGGTTTTGTTCGTGAGCTGAGAATCAGGTTAGCGCCAGGAGTATCCTCTTGAGTTTTCTTGCATCATAAGTTTCTGTAAGATTCGATAGCTTAGAAAAGCTTCATACACCCATAGTCATCCTTCTTACCGCAACAAAGAAATAGTAACCAGTGCATTGGCAACTATCCCTAGAATTAGTAGGACTTAAAGCGCCTGGCGTAAGACTTATACTCGAAATCCCTGAGACGGGATATGCTGCCGCATGCTTCAGCTTTAACCTGAAGGTGTTTAGCTTCTGTGACATACTCGGTAGTAACCATCCACTCTGCCGTATTGTTTCAATGCCACGCCTACGCTGGCTTACGGGATTAATGAGTGTAATCCGCAACACTCCCTGAGCAGCGGCTGCGTAGCTCGCTTCCCAAAGACGTACCCTTATAAGGCCTTATCGAGCCACAACATTACCGACTACGAACCTGCTCGCACCAATCCGGCCGCCCCGGACTGACTCTGACGACTGCCGTATGCTTTCATTTGCGAGGCCACAAATTTGAAGCGAATGGATTGAATCATGTAGCTCGCG